TTTTTACTATAGATACGTGGACGATGTTTGCTTGGCTGTTGATTCGTCGGATATTAACTTATTATTGTGCAAATTTAATGAATTTCATCCCCGTCTCCAATTTACTGTTGAAATTGGAGGTGATAGACTGGAGTTTCTAGACGTCTCTATGATTAAGAGGGATAATAGACTAATTTTTGACTGGTTCCATAAGCCTACTTTTTCGGGTAGATTTTTGAATTTCCTATCCAACCACCCACTGTCTCAGAAAAGAGGTACAGTCTTTTCTTTAGTCGATAGAGCCTTTTTTTTGTCAGATATTAGTTTTCATTATAAGAATTTTAACTTCATTATTAATATTCTACTAGATAATGATTATCCCTTACATTTCATTTTTAATACTATTAATCAACGGTTAAAATATTTGTTAAAAAATAAATTTATTGTCAATGACCAACCTACTAATACTCAAAACAATTCAAAGTCTGTTTCTTGGCTTACTGTACCTTTTGTTCCGTGTCATACGAAAAAATTTAAAAGATTTCATAATAATGATATCAGAGTTTCTTTTCGTAGCCCGAATAAAATGAGTAAATATGTTAAAGTACAAAAAGATGCCCTTTCAAAAGACTCTAGAAACAACGTAGTTTATAAAATTTCATGTAATGATTGTGATGCTTCTTACGTCGGCCAAACAAGTAGACAATTGAAAACGAGAATTTCCGAACATCGTAATCATATTAAACGTAACACGACAACTCGTTCAGTGATTACTGAACATAGGTTACAGCACGGCCATGACTTTCGATGGAATGAAGTAGAGATTCTTGATGAAGAATCGAATTACAGGAAGCGCATAGTGTCTGAAATGATTAACATTGAAAAACAGAAGAACAGTTTGAATTTGCAAACGGACACTGAAAACCTTCATGAGACATACATTCCGTTGATAAACAAAATTTGACTTTGCTGTGCTGTTTCCTTTTTAGATCATAGCTAATTTTTGTATCGTACAGACGTGTTAATTTTCTGCCTTCGTGTCGTCGTAAAAGACTAACAGATTTATTATGGATTTCGACAAACTTGACAACCTTTTATTTGATAAGTGTGTGCTGATGTATCCATGTATTAAGGTTTGGAAACTTAAAATTTTAGTTCTTGTTAATCATTTATATATAAATAATCCTATAGTTTACAGAAAGTTAAAGTCTTAATTCTTTTATAGATTTATTATCGATCTACCAATCGTTTATAATAAATTCCTTGCCTTGATGTCGGATGCATCTTTATTTCATCAATGATTTATCTGTACCATGTTTTTCCGTCTGTTACTTCTGAGGAAGACTCAATCCACGAGTCGAAACATGTAAAGTTTTATAGATTTTATGATTAAGCTTATTTATCTTTGTATTAAGTTTGTTCTTGTTTTTTCATATTTATGTATATTTTTATATCTTCGAATTTAGTCTTGTTTTCATGTCATTTTATATTATTTCATTTTATCTTTTTACTACGTGATTAAAGAAATTTTAATGTTTGACTCTTCATTTATCTTTTTAGTTTTTATTTTTTTGATACAGTTACTAAAACATAAAATTACTTGGTTTTAGTATTGTAATCTTCAAAACTTTAAATAATTATCTAATAATAAAATATATTAACATGGAAAATAACTGATATATAATTGAAGGTGCCAGTTCAAAGTGAACATTCATAAAATGTATATCCTTTTGTTGTATATATACGTAATAATGATTTAACAACACATGTACATTAGTTGTTTATAATAGTATGTTTATAAAGAATTTATTGGCTCGTAACCCTGTTTCTCTCCATTAGTTTTAAATTTATTGAGTCCTATTACAATCGACATTATAATAGCAATGTTGAATCATTAGTACGTATATATGCAACAAAAGAATATATACTTTATGTATGTTTACTTTGAACTGGCACCTTTATGATGATGACAAATGTATGAGTCATTTTTCATGGTAATATGTACCATTCCATTATCTTTCAATAATAAAATGTATTATGTTAAAATAGACAATTTGGTATCAGAATTCTTTTAAAATTAATATTGATCTTCTGTGATTTATTTTTAAAAAACTGTTATATATGTATATTTACACACTGTACAGTTTAATCTCTCACCTAGAACACTATATTTGATTCAAGATTTTGGAGTGTAAGTTATATATATCTGGAGACACGGTAGTGTCTCGGCGCTAAGCCAAGCGCCGCGGCACTGCCGTGCCTCCTTTACGCGAATCTGACAAATTCGGGGGATTGAGATGATTAGATCTCAGTAACGGATGAACCGATCAAGTTCTACATATGCTCAATCGACAGCAAATACTAAAATTGTATCATAAAAGTGCTTTTATTTTTTTTCTATGTGCCCTACGAGCGGAGATATCGCGACGCAAAGTCCGGATCTGTGAATTTTCACATTGTTTTTTTTTTTAAGATACGTCGTCGACCACATTCCACGCATTCCATTTGATGTCCTTTTGACATTTTTGGCACAAGAGGCAAATGTAGCGCTAGTTGTATACGATAATGTGACTGTGACGTGCGCGCGATTTGATATCGATCGAGATTGTCATTAGCGCCGAGACACTACTGTATCTCTTATTAATAATTTTTAAATATACTCAATATACTATTATTACTCAATATAGTATTATTTTTAAATATACTCCATATATTTAAAAAAAAGAGATCGAGATTGTCTTTAATTAAGGAACTGCACCGTCGAGGAAGTGAGTGCCTATATAGGTGTTCGCCTTCGAGGAAGTGAGTGTCTAGATGTTTGTCATCGAGGAAGTGGGTGTCTAGGTGTTCGCCGTCTCATTCTGACAAGCGATATGATTTGATGTCTTCAGATTGCAAGAGGCAAATGTGGCATTAGTTTAGTGTTAACCGTTAAATTCGATGACTACTCAGGTTAGAAAAAGTTTAGAAAATCTGTCACATCGATGGCACAGAGGAACACGTAAATGAAGTTATTATAGATCTCATATGTACCTTTAAAAGATTCATTATTTATTAGGATATTCTTGTAAAGGTATATTAACCGTTAAATTCGATGACTACTCAGGTTAGAAAAAGGTTAGAAAATCTGCCACATCGATGGCACAGAGGAACACGTAAGCGAAGTTATTATAGAATAGAATATATCTCTCATTTACCTTTATAAGATTCATTATTTATCAGGATATTCTTGTATTCAGATTTATGGAAAGCAAATGCCTCAAAAGTGAAAGAAATGAAAAGAATACAAAAGAATTGAAAAGATATACCTTTATCTGGTATAGTTTTTCCTATTCCTATTTTCTATTAATTATATTACTTTTAAATCCTTGCCTTTTCTATATGTAATTGTCGGCGCCAATTAAGTTAAATTTTATCTTTAAAAACCTAAGAGGAACTATCCTTACACTTATTTATCCTCATTATTTATTTAATTCTATTGACATATACCATTTGTATAAAAAATCAAGTTTTTTCAACAGAAATCTTTTTTTACAAATCATACATATCATTAGAATTAAGTAAATAATGACGATAATATCACGTAGGTTTTTAAAGATGGTAAAATTTTATTTTCAGATTTAATTGATTAATGCAACTATCTGACGTGATTGGTTCATGTTGAAATTACCAAGCATGCTTCTGGTTCGTGGAATTGTTGAACATATTTCTCTTCAATATTGTGTCAGATGAGTTTTACAATTTCTATAAATAGTTTGTCCTCTCTGTTTTTTATAATTATGAAAGAATTTATTCTTTGTGCTGTAATTTATTTTCAGATTCAGATTTATTTTACTAAAAGGAAAGGTTTGAAAATAAATGATGTAAAAGAAGAACATAGTGTGTTCTATCTGTGATATCACTTCAGGTTCGTTATTGTATGTTTCTTTCTAATGTTCAGTATTAACAACTTTATTATGATTTCTCTTTCATTTAAATTTATATATTTTGCAGGTACACAATTTAGAAGTAATTGATGAAAATGGTGTTCAATTAGGAAGAGGAAATACCATAAAACGATAATAATATAGAAATATTAGATCGGAGTACATTGAAAGTTCCTGATGCCAGTGCTATAATCTTGGATGTGACTAATGCAAAGCTTGTTGACAACAATGTTGCCCTAAAAAAGAGTGGTGTCGAAACAGTTGACAACAATGCAGTAGTACATAACAATAATAAAAGTACGTTAAATTCTGAAGGTAATGGAATGCAACCGACAATTTCGACGTTAGAAAACGAACTGATATATTATTGATGGTGCCAGTTCAAAGTGAACATTCATAAAATGTATATCCTTTTGTTGCATATAAACGTAATAATGATTTAAGGACTCATTCACACTAGATGTTTATAATAGTAATGTTAAATCATTGTTATTATGTATATATGCAACAAAAGAATATACACTTTATGTATGTTTACTTTGAACTGGCACCTTTAATAATATATGAATCATTTTTCATGGTGGTGTAATATGTATAATAGTATTTTTTATATACATATTCATTTCTATTTCGTTATCATTCAATAATAATATTAAAAACTGTTATAGTTTGATCTCTCACCTAGAACACTATATTTGATTCAAGATTTTGGAGCGTATGTTAACTTGTTTTCAATCACGTATATCTTTATAAATATCCGTTTACAAATTATTATCTGATAATCGATTTCGGAATAACATTATACCAAAAAAATTTATTACATTTATTAGCATATTTGATTATATGTATGTAATATTTTGACTTTGGAATAAATACATATTCACTTTCATTGCATTATCTTTCAATAATATAATGTATTATGTTAAAATATTTTAGAGAACATCAATGTAGAGATGGAAAAATACCGTTCGGATACCATTACTAAAAAAAAGTAAATCATATTAAATTTCTTAGTACTAAATATTAGAAAGAAGCATAAATGATGTAATTTATGTACGTTTATTATAAAGTTAATTATACATAGTGTGTTCTACCTGTGATATGACTTCAGGTTCATTATTGTATGTTTCTTTTTAATGTTCAGTATTAACAATTTTATTATGATATCTCTTTCTTGGTGATGGTATCCAAACGGTGCTTTTTCAGTATGACATATATCATTTGTATAAAAGATCAAGTTATTTCAACAGAAATCTTTGTTACAAATGATACATATATTAGAATTAAGTAATAATAATGAGGGTAATATCACGTAGGTTTTTAAAGATGAAAATTTTATTTTCAGATCTATTGTAAGGAAAGATTTGAAAAGAAATGATCTATATATGTTATTTTATGTCCATTTAATGTAACTATCTGACGTGATTGGTTCATGGTGGAATTACCAAGCACGCTTCTGGTTCGTGGAATTGTTGAACATATTTCTCTTCAACATCGTGTCAGATGAGTTTCACAATTTCTATAATATAATAGTTTGTCCTCTCTGTTCTTTATAATTACGAAAGATTTGATTCTTTGTGCTGTAATTTATTTTCAGATTTATTTTACTGAAGGGAAAGGCCTGAAAAGAAAAGCAAGATCTTTCCTTTCAATAAATCTAAAATTATAATTCAGTAGAAAGGATCAGTTCTTTTATAATTATATGAAAAATAGAGAGAATAAATTAATAGAGATTCTAAAATTATCTGATACAATATTAATTTCAATCATTTCAGATATGTGTAGAATTTCTATTAATTTGTTTTCACAATTCTTTATATAATATAATTGTAAAAGAACTGATTCTTTGTACTGTCCTTTTTTTCAGATTGAAAGAAAAGGCCTGTTATTATTTTTACAAAACAGTAGGAAGTGAATTTTGAATCTTTCCGATTTAATGTAACCGTCTGACGTGATTGCTGACCTGATATCTCTTTGTTACGTTCACTCATTTTAAAGTCACCAAGCACGTTTCTGATTCATGGAATTACCGTGAAATTATTAAAATATCTCTTCGATATCGTATTAGATAAGTTTTCTAATATTTGTCCTCTCTTTTCTCTACATAATTAAAAAAGAACTAATTCTATATACTGTATTTTATTTTCAGATTTATTGAAAGAAAAGACCTGAATCTAATCTGTCTGTATAATACTCCTTCATATTTGATAGTTATCTCAATATTTTTTTTTATTTAATATAGAGAAGAAGGGCATGAATCAATAAAATTCAATTTTATTTAATTTAATGTTATTTTTATTTTTACATTGAACTTATTTATAAAATAACATTATTTATTTAAAAATAAAATATTTTGGTAATTATGCACTATAGGGGAGCCAGCTCCGATGACCTTGACCTTGACATATGTTGTCAAGGTCATGATTCTGAGCAACTTTGCCTTAACAACTAGGTGGCGGACTCTTATAGTTTTT